ACTAATGAAAGCGCGTGCAGACACCACAAAATTCTCTGCTTATAGCACGCGACACGCGGCTGTATCAGCAGCAGCCTATAAAGGAGTGAACTATGATAGAATCAGACGCACAGCTGGTTGGTCCCCCAATTATCAAACATTTGCAAGATTTTATAACAGACCAATAGTTCCAGATAATAACGGATTTGCAGGTGCGATAATTAATGTGTAATGTCCAAAATTTTGTACTTGAAATTTAAGACTAGAATAAATTTTATGTAAGATTATAATTATAAGTTATATTATAATTTCAGGCAATTAAGAACCAAATCCACAATTATAAATTAAACAGAGTGCATTTCATCACCTGGACTCAATTAAAAATTCCAAAGTCATTGGAATCGGGTTCAAAAGTGATGAAATGACACACTCAGCATGCCTCAATTACTCAATACTAAGATTCGCACGCGAAGGAACGATTGAAAACCGATTAATTGAAACCCCAAAAACCGAATGAACTACTTCCCCATAAAAATCAAAAGAGTGGGAAAAGTCATACGACATTTTCCACCAATTAAAAATGGACTCGTTGGAGCCCATGTGACAAGTGACCCCAAAATTCATATAAAAATGTCAGAAAAATCAAAATTAAAGAGTCTTGAAGCAGCGACGGAGCAGTAACAGTTCTGGTGGAAACAGTTCATTTAATCGGTCCGGTTTTCCAATCCTTCCTTCGATTACACGGGACAGTACTGAATAAATAGTAAGTTACGAGCAATTGAAATTATCCGGGAATAAAATTTCTTTAACCGAGAATGGTGACTTTTCTTGCAAATAAGGAATTCGTTTATTGTGACGCGTTGTGGACAGTCTCAACCAAACTCTTAAAATCTTCAATTTCAACTGCAAAAAATTCATTAAAATATCAACGAGTAGAAGAAAGTGTTTCCGTGAAAGTATCCATAATAGCCTTTAGCGCGACTAATTGCTGGTGAGAAAATTACGGATTTACCCAGGGATCTACAAACACATCGAATAATTTATAAATGAATTTATAAATTTACAAACCAAACAGTGTGAGTAACAAAAAGTTTTAAACCTAAATTTGAATCCTTCAGATTATTCCAGGGATAAGAATTTTAGCTACATAGATTTCTGTAAAATCACGCTTATGTTTTTGTAAACCGAATAGTTATACAAAATATATTTAAATTGAAACTTGACTCCAGTACAACTTCAAATTTCTTGATTAGAAATTCGTCTCAACTCAAGCCCTATCCCTAAATCAAGCCCTTTTTCCCCTATATTTTTAAAAAAAGGTAAGAGTATAAAACTTTGCGTCGTCCAATAATTATAAAATTCAATAATTTTAGCTTTGATTTTAATGTGACAATTAAAACATGTCCATTCGACGCTAAAATCCTTCTCTGGACATAACAGCTAGAATTTCATGGCGCAGTCGGTAGGACCCGCCTAAGTTTCCAATACTCTTATCTTTTAAATATTCTGAAATTTTGGAAACCCATTCTAGTCAATGTAATTCAATTCAATTCTAATCAATTAAAATTTTAGCTTTGGGAAAGGTTCTTTAAATTTCAAATATTAGACTTTTCTTTGCAAAATTCAAATTCTCTTTGAAATAATTATAAGCGAAATTTTATTTTATTTTCCCAATTTTATTGGAAAAATCATATAATTCAAATTAACTTAATCCTAAATATAAAATTATTGAAATTATCAACTAATTAAATTATCTTCCCAAAGTGGCGAATGCGTCCTTCATTAATATCAGTTACTCTGGAAACTCGGGTGACGCTGATCAGACCGTTTCCAGTTACGAACAATATGTCAAAGCTCGAGGCATTGCCAACAGCATTCCCATATTCTTCGGTACAAATGAGCACTGCTCTCTGGATGAATTTGAGTATGCATTGAGATCAAATCTTGACTCCATTCCTAAAGCAGACGGAAAGAAAGAAGAATATATTAGACAAATACTCAAATGCCTTTTACCCCTAGCAAAATTCGTAGTGGCGAACAAACCCCTCTTTTCTGTAGAAACTATTCTTACTCACCTAATCAAGAGATTTAGAGGTCAATATGACTTAACGTATTATGTGAATAGAATACGCGGGCTGTTGAAAATTAAAAATGAACCCCTAGAATCGTTCTTGGAGCGATTGGCAGCACTGGTCCAGTTCGGTCTGGGTACGATTTCTGGGGAAAATGAAGCTGAAAAACATGTCCTCGAAAAACACCTCCAGACAGAGGCCATTAAACGGTTTAAAGAATACGCCCCTGCAAGCGTGAAGGGAAGAATTAGGCGCAACAACCTAAGTAAAATCTCAGCCGAGATACCAATACCAACAAAATCGATCGTACAGTCAGCCATATAATCAGTCAAATACCCCGACACCATCGTCAAGCTACGGTCACCGAAACTATTCCGGACAGAGGAGAAATCAGGACCCTTCACGAGATCTAGTCACCGCTCTCCTCAATGAATATTTGCCATCCAACCGGAACAGGCAAGGCAACGGGTACAGGCAAATACCACCTCGACCACCGGGGCCACCTCCATCTATACCAGGACACACAGCTCATCCTGGTGACCCCCCTTCGCGCAGCTTCAACTCCGTCATCGTCTACGGTCAAACTCCGAACGACGAGGATGAATCTGACTATGAGGGACCAACGGAAACTGCGGAAAACCCTACCACGGATCAGATTCTAGCCCTCGCTAATATCCTGGCAGCCAACCAACGTCCTCATGCAGCCCCATTCAAACCTAAACAGAACCTTTCTGATATGGACGAGATCAAAAGTATGTTGCAGCAGACCACAGCCTTACTCCAACAGCTTGCGATGAGTTTGAGTAACCTGCAGACTCAGAATCGTCCATCGTCAGACTCCAGACCACTCTCTAGGGCTCCCTTAAGGGAACGAGAAGGGAGAAATACCCTGCGGAGTCCTACGGGAACTCAGCAGAACAGAGCCAGCCCATCCACAGATGGAATCATTCCAAAGGAGACTTTAAACGAGATTGTTGCTCGCCAATTGAGTGCGATGACGAGCGGTCAAAACCAGCACTCACTCCACACAATGTCGAACATGCATCCCAGAGAGTAAAACCCATACTGTGTAGAGTTACCGGAGGTCCTCAGATCATCTTTCGAGGACCAAATGTCATCTCCCCAGGTGTGAATGCATTTATCGATACCGGAGCTTCCATAAACCTGATATCGTTCCAGTCATTGGTAGAAAATGCCCTCATCGATACCACAGAAACAATCGGAATCGTTGGGTTGTCCAATCACGTCCTGAACTCCCTTGGAGTAGCTCGCCTTGCAGTGCATCCTGAAGTTCAAATAAAATTCCACGTGATTCCTCACCAGCCAGGCGGATATGGAGGCATCATCGGGGATGAAATGTTGAATGAGTTGAAAGCTCACATTTCCTTCAACACGAACAACATTAGCTTCAACATCGCCCCATTGAAACCTATACATTTCTGCCTCCTCAATTGTCCAACGAGAGGAAAACCTTGCCGGATTGCACTTAGCGGGGGCGGCTCAAGGATAAACCTAAAGGTGAAGAACCTCATCGGAAATCGACATCGAGTTCTCATCGACGCCGGAACTGACATCAATCTTATTGAGAGGAGAGTCATCAAACCCGACGTAAGAATTGAACCTCCTAAGATACCCTATCTACTCGGAATAACAGAGAATGCATTGCCAACATGCGGTTTAGTTCACTTAAAAATCTTTGGCTCTCTCGTACCATTCCACATCGGAGATCATAAACTACCTGTCGAAGGAAGCGGATTACTCGGGTTAGAATGCCTAATTCAAGAAAAGGTGGACATACGGTATCAGCAACGGAATATCATCAATCTCAAGAGGCCTAACCTGCCGGTGGATTGGTATAATTACGAGAAATTCCATGAGTCAGCCGTCATCCCTCCAAGAGCAAGAATGGCCATCCAAATCCCCATCCAGAATACCGAATTATCGGTCGGGTATTTATCAAAGATCTCCATAAAACCAGGCGTCTATCTAGACGAGAGTGTGGTCAGCATTAGAGAGGGGAAAGCCTGTCTCTTCGCCATCAACACCTCCGAAGAACCAGCTCACCTCCACATACCACCCCAGAAGGTAGAGGAAATCGATGAACTCCTAGAAAGAACCGAAATATTAGGAAAACCTCAAGAAACCTTCGCCTGGTGCAATATAGGAATTGCCCCAGAGGAAAATATAGGTCTGTCACCTCGCACATCGCACGTAATAGAGGCCCTACCCGATCAGGAGCTCAAACCCTTCGAACGCAAAGAGGTGATCGAACTAGTAAAAGAGTTCAATGACATATTCCACCTTCCGGGAGACAAGCTTGGCAAAGCTAATAATTTCCAATGCAAGATCAGACCCATCGATGATAAACCTGTCCATAAGCGGCAATACAAGTAGACAAATAGACAACCTGCTGGAACAAGAAATCATCAGGCACTCAGAATCACCATACAACTCACCCCTCTGGATTGTACCAAAGAGAGCCGACTCTAAGGGGAAGAAGCGATGGAGAATGGTGATCGATTTCCGACATCCAAATCAGAAAACGATCGGAGATTCCTATCCGTTACCCAACATATCGAAAATTCTCTCACAACTAGGCGGAGCTAAGTACTTCAGTGTGTTCGACCTAGCCAGTGGATTCCACCAAATCGCGATGGATGAAACAGACGCTGAAAAAACTGCTTTATCGGTCCCAGCGAACACTATGAGTACATGAGGATGCCTTTCGGATTGCAAAATTCACCTCCAATCTTCCAGCGGATGATGGATCAGACCCTAACCGAACTAAAAGGGACAGAACTCTATGTCTACCTAGATGATGTAGTTGTTTACTCCAGAACACTGGGTGAACACATCACCCGTCTCAGGAAATTCTTCAACTGCCTGCGGAAAAACGGACTTACTCTCCAGCCTGATAAATGCAAATTTTTCATGAAGGAGGTAGCCTATATGGGACACATAATCGATGACCAAGGTATTCATCCGGATCCAGCAAAAATAAAGGCATTAACAGAGATGCCCCTTCCCACAAGCCAGCAGGGAATAAGACGATTCTTAGGCTTCAGTAACTATTATCGACGATTTGTGAAAGACTACGCAGAAATTTCACAGCTTCTAAGTGATCTCAAGAAAAATGAAAGATTTAAATGGAGCAAAGAACAAGAACAATCATCATTCAAAGCCCTCAAGGAAGCCATCACCGAGGACTCTCTACTGTTTCATCCTGACATGAACGAACCATTTATCGATCATGTTTTCAGTACCCAAAAGAGCATTGGAGCCATCCTCAACCAAAAAGATGATGAAGGAGACGATCCTGTACGCATCGAGAGCACTTCGAGATGCTGAAACAAGATATACTTCAGTCGAATTGGACTGCCTCGCAGCTGTCTACACCCTAAAGCAGTTCAAACCCTACAACTATGGAGTAGTAGTTGGTTCTGTATGAAACCGTAGTACCACTACGGTTTCAACAAGAAATATCTCAGAACAAACCAAATCAGGAAACTACGGACGACAAGATCACTATACCGCAAAGTGACTATCAGCCTGCGAGCAACATCAAAGAAACCCGAGACGGACTAACATTTACCAGGGGAAACATTGCTCATTTCCTCGCAGCAGATGGAGAGGTCAAAAAGCAAAACACCAAACTTTTAAGAGACTTCAATCTGATAGACCTGGCGGAAATACGTAAGCTTAATCCAAAACTAGGTCAAGTCATCGTCACGAAATGCCGAAAATTCAGAACATTTACCCTTATTGCGAAGCAATGGCCCTTCGAAAAAGTAAACAACCGGATACTAAAACTCTGCCTGAAAAATCTCAAAACCGCCATGGAAAAATACCAAATCACTGAAATAAAAATGGAATCTCAGGGTGACGAACTAGATGACGATATCAGAATACGATACTTCCTGGAGAAAGAATTTCAATTCCACCCAGCCACTGTAACCCTGTGCCATGGGGGAATCCGGATGCCTCCAGCAGCCCTAAGACCAGACATCATTAAGGAATGCCATGCAACTCTTCCCGGAGGACACAAAGGGATTGTGAAAACCTTCAACCGAGTAAGAGAAAGGTTCTACTGGCCCGGGATGAAACAGGAAATAGAAAGATTTATCAAACTCTGCCGAACCTGTCAACTAGCGAAGATTCGAAGGGTGAAATTCCGACAGCCCATGCTCATCCCCGAAACACCTAGCGAATGCTTCGAGAGAATCTCTATCTCCCAGCTACACGTATGGGTCACTGCCATATCCTGACAATACAGGATAATTTCTCCAAGCATTGCACCGCTGTACCACTTAAGGATATCAAGGCTCACTATCGCTCATGCACTAGCAACCAAATATGTAGCCCTGTACGGATGCCCCAAGATAATCCTCTCAGATAAAGGGACCAGCTTCCTCAGCAAATTGTTCAATCAACTGGGAAAGGTCCTGAGATTCCACCATATAACGACATCTGGATACAGACCTCAGTCAAATGGAGCCCTTGAGAGAAATCATCACGTACTAGCCGAATATCTGAAGACCTTTACCGACGAATTCACCGACTGGAACGAGCTACTCCCCTTCGCCATGCTATCATACAACACCACTGTCTCCATCACCAAGAGGACTATCATCAACAAATCTTCACCACCACAAACGGCATCATCACAACTATCTCCCTGTGCATGATCACAGCCAGTTTCTGCGCATACAGAGAAGGCCTGTCGATCATAGGTATCCTGTCCTGTTCCTCCTGTTGTCGTGAACCAAGGACACAAAGGAATGTCCAACGAAGAGTCTCCATTGGAGCCCCAAAAATCCAAAAGCTCAGCGAAATACCGGTGGAACTGATGAACATAACGCAAATGCCGATGCCCAGTTATCCAGTGCAATCACCACCGCCAAAAGAAAGAGCAGACATCAGGCCCAAACACGCAAAGCCAACCTCTAAACAGGACACACCATCCGCTGTCGTCATCAACTACATCTAGAAAAGTCAGATAAGTCAAGAAATAAAGGTAATAACAAGGAGATAACAACGAACTAGAAATTAAAAAAAAAAGGGAAAATATATTTTCAACCATACGATACAATAAAAAAAAAAAAACCTGACAACATAATAACTCTTAATATCTTGGGGGAAATATTAAAAAAAAAAAAACGATATCTTCCCTTCCACCGGTCGCCAAGAGGAAAGCTCGATAGTCTATCAGCTGCCTCCGCAACCTTCTCCTCTAAAAAAAAATAATAATAATAATAATAATAATAATAGTTTAAAATCTTGAAGTATATTAAAAAAATATATATATGTATAAACGCAGATGCATATACATATAGCACGAACATCTAAAAAAAAAAATTATTAAACTCAAAATTTGTTAATAAATAATTGGAAATAACAATTAATTAGTAATAACAAATTGTTATTGCCCAGAGAAGAAAAAAGAAAATACAGAAAGAGCCCAGGCACGTGAGTGTGAGGAACCATATATAGCTCATCCTCCACTCCTCTTGGTGCGAATGTCGCACAAAGAGGAATGGAGAAGGATACACCTCCTATGCATAAGAGCATGGAGGGTTTCAATCGGCCGTTCCTCTTTGTGCGACATTCTGTGCACAAGCCTCTCACCACACCCCCCTCACAACCATCCATAATAACTTTAAATTCAAAAATCGATCAGAAAATCCGAAACAACTCAGATAAATAAAATAAGAAAAATAAAATAAAATATATAAAAAAAAGAGATAAAAAGAAAATAAACAGTAAACAACAGATAAAATAGACCCCGAACAATTACCCAAGAAAATAAACCACTGCACCTGTGCCAAAAATAAAATAGGAAAGGAAATATTCCAAATACTTACTGTAATGAATAAAATCCCTGGCACACAAACAAAATTAAAGGTACTTCACTAGTCACCGACCGAGCGAAGGAAACTGACAGGTGAATCGGAAATACAATGTAATCCGAACTCCCAAGAATGTCATCGTCAGCACCCAGCCGCTCACGGCTACCGCCCGGTGCACGGTTATCAAGCCAAATAACTCAATCCATGCTACACATAAAATTTAAAACTCCAACTCCTCAAAATTGCCTCCAAAAAGTAATGGGAAACAATTTTGAGCGGGCGCTGTAATGTCCAAAATTTTGTACTCGGAATGTAAGACTAGAATAAATTTTATGTAATATTATAATTATAAGGTATATTATAATTTCAGGCAATTCAGAACCAAATGCACAATTGTAAATTAAACAGAGTGCATTTCACCACCTGGACTCAATTAAAAATTCCAAAGACATTGGAATCGAGTTCAAAAGTGATGAAATGGCATACTCAGCATGCCCCAATTACCCAATACTAAGATTTCCACGCGAAGGAACGATTGAAAACCGATTAATTGAAACCCCACAAACCGAATGAACTACTTCCCCATAAAAATCAAAAGAGTGGGAAATGTCATACGACTTTTTCCACCAATTAAAAATGGACTCGTTGGAGCCCATGTGACAAGTGACCCCAAAATTCATATAAAAATGTCAGAAAAATCAAAATTAAACAGTCTTATTAAATTATTTTAAATTAAGCAGCGACGGAGCAGTAACAATTCTGGTGGAAACAGTTCATTTAATCGGTGCGGTTTTTCAATCATTCCTTCGATTACACGGGATAGTACTGAATTAATAGTAAGTTACGAACAATTGAAATTATCCGGAAATAAACTTTCTTTAACCGAGAGTGGTGAATTTTCTTGCAAATAAGGAATTCGTTTGTTGTGACGCGTTGTGGACAGTTTCAACCAAACTCTTAAAATCTTCAATTTCAACTGCCAAAAAGTCATTAAAATATCAACGAGTAGAAGAAAGTGTTTCCGTGAAAGTATCCATAATAGCCTTTAGCGCGACTAATTGCTGGTGAGGAAATTACGGATTTACCCAGGGATCTACAAACACATCGAATAATTTATAAATAACAGACCGAATTGTGAGTAACAAAAAGTTTTAAACCTAAATTTGAATCCTTCAGATCATTCCAGGGATAGGAATTTTAGCTACATAGATTTCTGTAAAATCACGCTTGTGTTTTTGTAAACCGAATAATTATACAAAATATATGTAAATTCAAACTTGACTCCAGTACAACTCCAAATTTCTTGATTACAAATTCGTCTCAACTCAAGCCCTATCCCTAAATCAAGCCCTTTTTCCCCTATATTTTTAAAAAAAGGTAAGATTATAAAACTTTGTGTCGTCCAATAATTATAAAATTCAATAATTTTAGCTTTGATTTTAATGTGACAATTAAAACATGTCCATTCGACGCTAAAATCCTTCTCTGGACATAACAAATGATTAATATGAAACTCATAACTTTACTTCTATAGTGAAACTAAATTTGGAAAATAATACACCCAAAAAGAAACAATTGAGTTAGCTCGAACTCTGAAAACCTACAGTTATTTATCATCGAGAACGAGACGCATAATATAATTGGACGATCAAACGAGCCCGCCGAAGGCGGGCGAAGTTCGATCGAAATTATATGAAGCGTCTCGTTCGAAGATGATGAACACCCTCCCTTCAATACCCCACCCTAAATCGAACTCAATGATTATATCTCGATAACTCAACTGAACAAGCTCTAAAACTTATGAATGGAAGAGCTGACGCACCGCCGCCCGGTGGACGAGAGTCGAAAACTTCCAATTTTTATAAATTTACTCTAAAATGTTGTGATGTGAAGCATGACGAATCATACTACAGTTATTCATCATCTTCGAATGAGATACTTCATATAATTTCGATCGAAGTTCGCCCGCCTTTGGCGGGCTTGTTTGATCGTCCAATAATAAGAACTTAATGAAATATTATAGTGAAAGAATACTTGATTAGTAGGGATTCTATGGGTTGCAAAGAACCTGGTTGCCTGAGGGGAACATCAAACCCTCAATAATCTCCGGATGGGATCCGTACACCCGCGTTCCCCAAATCCGGATCGATATTCCGAAATGTCAGGGGTAATTGGAAGGACGTATTCGGATAAAGCCAATCGTCTGTATCCGTAATGATCAATGAACGATGCTGACTGCGTGAATCGCTTACGGAACGACCATCCCCGGTGTGGCTGTAGGACTTTATTACCGACCGGCTGGTGTTCCCTCTCGCCACTATTTTCCTATCTCTCTAAATTGCCACGGTCCGGCTCTCAAAAAGATCTCAAGAATGTTTCGGTGGAGGCTCCGGTGCCTCAAAATGCTTAAAGCGTGAGAATATATATACCTTCTATTTATGACGAGGCAAAGAGTATAGCATTCAATACCTCGTCTGTGTTTATTTTATTGTATCGAATAATGGAGTCTCTTATAACTCAAGATTTCAGAGTGTATCAATACAGGTCTTCCCTTCGGTGACAATGTGAAATCCGGGGAGTAATCCCCTCGTGAATTATTATTTATTCATGTAACTTTCACAACTCCCGTCAGGCTTTAAGAATTCCCACAGGTATCACTATCAGACCTGAACTCACATTATTCTCACCTCCGAAAATACAAAAAAATACCATAAGAAATACTTTCCTAAGAGCTTCTCGAATGCAGAGGCACGAGTGCAATGCACACCCTTACCCGATCATTGTCAAGTGTGCCCGTGCTAGATCAACTTAAATAGTTCATTCGAAGGAAGGGAAGCCCTAAAATATGTTAATACAGAAAGCACAGGTTTGAAGGTGTAAAGATTTCTCTATTCTCTAAACTTGATATTTAATTATCCGATGAAACAAAAATGAATATAATAAATGCGGGTCGTCACCCCAAAACAATAATTGAATAAGTATTATATTGACTGGAATTGCAGTCAATCCAGGTAAAAGGAAACTCAACTCCCCAAGTACATATTACAAAATAATAATAGTAATTAAGGTACATTAGTCCGGAATCAGCCGGCAGATCGCTTCTATATAAACCAAAAAAATACCAATAAATTCTACCCGAAACAATGTCCTCCCGAAGCCGACTGCAATTCCCGAATTATTAGTAGGGCAAATATGGACCTTTAATTGCCTCTGATAGATAAAAGCACCGAAATTCCCCACTCCTTGGCGCTTCAGGAGAACGCCGTCCTAGAAATCGCCTAACCTGCCTAGCACTTCTACGTCCTCAGGATACAGCAGGATTTCCGCCCGCCCGCACGAGTTCTATACCAAAATGTCTAACCCCGCNCCCCCCCGGAGGGCACCTATAACCCCTACGAGCTCTCAAATACCCCAGCGGTCACTCCGAACAAATAGATAACCCGACTGATAAGCGTAATTAATTTAGGCTACGCTTACCACACCGGGAGATCGGCCAGAAATACTCTGAGGCACTTACAGAAATGTAGAGTTCTGTCCCACCAGTTGCTCGCCACGTGGTTGCTCGGTTACCTCTCAGCGTCGCCAAATACTTCCGGACCAAATCTCTCTCGATAAACGTCCGGAATATGTGCAAGTCGCTCCGAATTTTCTCATCTCCAGGCTTTCCCTCAATGAGATGTTCGTTGTCCCCTCACGGTCGCCAAAAGCCACGAAAACACAAAAATTGGAGACCCACACAATAGAAAACGTGGCTATGGCGGCGGTTGAGAACGAAGTGAAGTGGTTAGTTACTTTCTTTCAGTCCGGACGAGCCTTACGGTAGCGTGCCTTGTGCAGTC